GATGAGACAATGGCCACTGCTTCATGACACAGTACTTCGAGCCCGGTCTGAGCTCCTCTTCGGGGACACTTTCGTCCATCGATAAGCTGCTGAGAACCCGTTATATCACAGAGAATACAGTTACCGCCCAGATATCGGTCGCAAGATCATCCTCTGTGACGATTAGGAAGATCTTCTTGACCTTGCCACTACGCAGATCACGCAAGAACCGTTTTGGTTCTAGCGTTGGCAATTGTGTGATCTTCATAAGCTAACTTCGGAGGCACAATCAGAATCAAGTGTATAAACGTCTTCCTTTGATTTGTCATCGACCAAGACGTTTAACGTCTCGGTTTCCTCTTCGGAACTCGTTTCCGCAGGCTGCTGAGAATTTGTCCGGTCATTTTGATGAGATGCCAATTTATCAGCAAGTAACTCTAGAGAAATTTCATCCTCAAGCTCGTGGGGACTTATTCCCTCGACGTTATCTGACTGTTTTTGTGTAATCACATTCAGGTCCCGATCTTCTATGGTCGACTATCCGATCAACCTAGAATAACCGCGTTCTTGATTCTAGACAATCGGGGGTTACTTCCTTTGTTGTTGCCCGCTAGACATGTATTTAGGTCCCGGCCCACTCTACTTATCCAAGTGGTTCACCTTCGGCGCTGCCTGTACTTGTGTACAGCCACCGGGAGCTTGCTCTACAGTGTAGTGACCAGCTACACTGAGGTCTTGTGCAGTCGTGACTAGCGACCGTACCGCACGTGAGTCCATCGCACTCACCCGCAGTACATCAACACGTCAGTGGGCGTTCCAAGGCGCTCATCAGATTTCTATCTGATGAACAAGCGGCAGGCATCTTCACGGATCGATGCTGCCACCTCACTCTTGGATCGTATCTTCTGATTCAAGGTAATCCTAGGATGACATCAAATTTGTCATCCAGATCCAGTACGATGAAGTTGTCATCGTACTGATTCCCCTCTAACGTGTGGTAGATTCCCACTACACGTTTTTAAACGTTATTCGATGCGCCTGTTGCATAGCGCACCTTCATCCTCGTGAGGGGAATGTCGCGCTCAACGAACTTGAGCCTACGACCCTCTAGTGACTGGCGACGAACAAAGTTGTTTGACGCCCCACAGTCAACTAGAGCTCGAAGTGGACAAATATTTCGTCACTTCCAACTTCAAGGTGATAAGTGATATCATATCACCAGGTGCGGAGACACACAATGATTGTATATCTGGAGCAACTTTCGTCAAGAGATTTGCACATTCTCATGAGGTTGCTATATCAGTAAAGCTCTCCGCTCCTACTTACCTCGTCCATGTTTTGATGGTCCGCTCTGCTATTTCGATTTCGAAATAGTGTTGGACCTACCCCCATTGCCCTTTTTGTCGAATGGTCGATCATTGCGCTTGGGACTGTTTGGTACTGGGTGGGGGCACTACACTCATTAGCGTCGTTTCCTAACCTCTGACGCAATTGCGATTACACTTCTGCAATCGCTTATTTTTTGAAGAGCGAGGCCTCTCGATCTCAACATTCTAAAGTTCCATCGGTTCTGAACCTCCGGTCTCTTGTCGTCTCGGTAGAAGATAAGAGCTCGAGCTGACATAAGCATGTCTCATGCTTAAGGCCTCCTGTTCTGCAGCTAAAATTGATAGTTCAAGAGTACCCAGTTCTAGGCGTAACAGGTGGTTCCTGACGGGCCTATCTGCGAGCCCTTGTATGAACACAGTAATTATGCGTGTTAATTTACAGGGTTAGAAGTTATACTACTCGCGAGGAGTCGTGTATGCTAAGCGTGATCGTGCACATCACGCTTACCCTGCTTGAGTTTTAGGAGCTCTGATCGATCCCTGAACTAAGCCCGCGGCGGTTCAAACATTTGTTTAAGCCCGGTTTTGAAGGCTTCGAGCGACTGGGAAGCGTATGGGTCGCTCATCTCCATCCTGAATGCCCAAGTCTTGCCACGCACTGCCAAGCGGGTTTGAGAAAATGTGAGTTTCATTTGCTTATCATCGATATGACACGCATTTATAGCTCTGTCTAATTCGACCAAGAATGACAACAGGGAGTCTTACTCGACTTCTCTGTGCTTGGAGATATCCACCTTCCAGATTTCGGGACGACGCGTGTGTGTGTCCCCGCCCACAGCAGCATTGAGTCGCTACTGTATCAACAGCTCTGTCTGTTGAGGACTGAGTTCTCTCAACTGCTAAGAATGTTGAGAGACTTGATGGTATAGCAAGGCTACTTTCTTTCTTTCGGTGTCAAGTTCATTTTCAATAAATCTGGAAATAGCGGTATGTTGTAGGTCTTTGCCAAGAGACTCCAATATGGCGCTAATTGCGGTTTCGCCTACGGTAGAAATCGTGCGTCCTACTGCACTACATTCGAGTTCACTCAATTGGGCGAAGCCTTCACGCGTGGAGTGAAAGGTTTCCTTTTCATACCTCATGTTCATGTTAGGTAAGGTGATTGATGTCGTTGGACGGACTACAAAGTACTACCATGTGAAACGGGGCACGCTCTTACCAGATGACAGATAAAACCTTGTCTTGACTGAATACAAGGCTGCGTACTCCCGACGTCACGTACACGTGGCGTGAGGAAGCGCGAGGAAGTAAGCAGAACCCGAAAGTTCTGTTTAAGGGAGAAAATAGAACTGTGTTTAATATAGTTAAGCTTCTTCTACTAAACCATCTTTATCTTAGTCTAATTGTATTCAACTACAATCCCCTATGTGTGTTTCTTGTTCACCACCCATTGCGCGCACTCCACAGCGATTGGTGATTAATCTGGTTGATGTACAAGGTACATCAACCATAAAGTGGAACATCCAGAGAATGCTACCCTCGAGGGCAATATTCCGTCAACATCACCTAGTCTCGAGTGATGTTGATTGAATATTATCGAAATAGAAACTATTCAAAAATTGGTACATTCGTACCAAATTTATGTAACGGGCTCACCTCGTTACAGAGATAGAATCTAGTGTCTTCAGGACCTTTTCTATTTCATCCATACCCTCTTAAGATATAAAAGCGAGAAGGACACATCGACGAATGAGATCTTGCAACCTGTGAAAATTAAAAAAATGTAACTTACCATGAACGAATCGTGTGGGATGCTTACCACGATAGCGTGAGCTTCTCTAGTCGAACATCATTTGAGCGACAACAAGCAGCATATTTGCATAGAGCATGTACGATAGTGACACCCTAGGGTCTTCATCGATTACAGGTAATCTATCGTTGATCTGAAGGAGTTGCTGATGTGACATGTTCGATGTAGTAGCTGACGCCAAATCGCGGCATTTGTCTTGCGGTTGATATGAAGTACTTAGCGCAAAACGGCTGGCCGTTGCTGTCATGTAGCGCAAATCACTTATGCTGAATACACCACTGACGGGCTTGTGTCCATGTATGACCGACCTTTCGGTACAAGTCTTACGTGCTGCGAAGTGTTACGCGCCAAAGACCTAGGTACATCCCACATGAGGTGAAGCTGTTGTACAGACCTACGGATTCGAGCAAGCAGACGATTGTCATCAAGTAGCCAAAACAAGCATCACCCGTCGGACCTGGTCGTGGGATAGGTCGCTTAAGTCGTCGAAACATCAGACAGTCAGGCTCAGCAATTGTGTCAGCACAATTAGCCAAGAGCATGCTACTATTGTTACCAAGGAGAAAGCCTACATATCCAAGCCCTGACGCCTCGTTTTTTTGTACTCGATCAGATAGTTCGCGTGGGGTATCGACAGAAGTTTGGTGCGCGCACCTGTCAATCAGTATTCCCCAGGCCGGTAATGTAACGGGGCACTGGTGACAACGTACTGGTTGACCAGTACGGAGCTGACTTCCACTGACAACAGTGGTAGTCAGTGCCCTGCTAAGTTTTGCATAAACACAGAGGAAGTGAAGGAGACTAAGTGAATACTCTAGTCTCTGGTAAAAGTAAAACTGTTATTTAATACAATTAAGTCCTATCACTCTTGTGTCTCTGTTTATCTTGACTTAATTATATCAATCTAACTAACGTATGATGACGTCTACTCACCACCCACTGCGCGCGTCTAGCAGCGATTGGTGGGTTCATATCATCACGATATCAACCAATGAGTAGACCATTCGGTCATCTTCAACAATATCATCATGCTCTGTGATATTGTTGAAAGAATATTCATCGTATTAATATTTATTGTCATTTTAGCCTTAATGACAATTTCCATGGGCTACCCCGTTACAGGCAATGCATAGGACACAATCAATAGCTCGACAGGCGATAACAATCGTTCCGTGAAGTAGAATCGCGAGTTAGAGTCTCTTGATGTGGTGTCAATTATCTCAGTCGGTTGAAACACATAGATGGGTGCCAGTAGACCATGCTGTGGTTGCCATGCCGGCACTCATGTGCGATGAAAGCGCTGCGATACAGTAGAATCCCTATCAGCTCATGCAATGGGCGGATGTGACAATATTATGTAGTAAGAGATGTTTAGTAGGAGGGGTTGCGTGGTCACGTGATCTGCCTCTCTTGCCCAACGTCGGGTCAGATTCTTTTGATTAACAACAAGGGGTTATTAGCTCATAGAGAATTAGCTAAAAGGGGTTCTACTGTATTGCACAACCTACATGCTACGAGTAGTCATGAATCCACGCGGAATGCCAGGCTACAACGTTCGTCGTACACACGGACGAGTGTACCGGTCCATGCCAAACACACTGCGTCGTGTAGGGAAGCGTAGCAGTAAGGCGCGTTGCTCCGTCGGCTTGACTGGACTTTGACACCATTTTGTCATGATCCTGCAGGCACAACAGGGTGTTCAAATCGCCTCAGAGGAAGCAGGTTGAACACTTCATAAGCGATACTTGCTCGCTGAACTCAGTCGTCATTGATTCTAGGTATTGGTACACGTTAATATGACAATTACGCGCTGTACGCTTTTGGTGCTTTGCAAAGACCCATATCCGGCTACCCGCCCATCTCATATCGCTTATCGATACGCCTTAGGAGGCATCCAGCAGCAAAGACGAATTATCACGCGTACCCACGCAATCCACGTCAGCGATTGCTTCCGGCTTGACCGAGGCACGTGATCTTGGTGCGTTCATGTATAGCTCGTAGAGATCGGCACGCTTTCGCAAGTGCTCTTGCATGGGACCCAACAAGCGTTTGAACGTGGCTCGGTCCAGTACGAGGAGCTTGGTCTTGCGCACAGCAGTGACCGTGGCCTGGCGCACGTCATCGTGGATAAGCGCAAGTTCGCCGAAAAAGTCGCCAGCTGCAAGTCTCGCCAACACTTCCTCGCCTCGACGGGTGCACTTGACCTCGCCATGTGCAATAATGTAGAAATCGTCCCCTGTAGACCCCTCGGTGAGGATGATGTCTCCCGACTCGACAAACGCTTCGCGCAACGCATCTGCCACTGTCATCTTCTCATAGCTCGACAGCGTTGAAAAGATCGGCACTTGGCCCAAAAAGTCGAGGTAAAGGGCGCGTTGTTGCATCGTTGTCGCCATAAGCACGCACTTGAACGTCCTCCGATCCAGTGTCCAGCACTCAACACGGGTCCTGGCCCGCACGGTCGCAGCTCTGGGCGAGTCGTACAGCAGCGCCAGCTCGCCAAAGAAGTTACGCGTAGACGTCGCACACACGTCCCCTACGACCCGGTCGTCCACTACCACATCGCAGACACCGCTTGCCACGATATAAAACGTGTCTCCAGCCACGTCGCCTTGCGCCACAACGTTCACTCCTGCGTCCACAGCAACATACTTCATAGCGTTCACGAGCACCTGCATCGTATCTTGTGGGATAGTTGCAAAGAGCAGATTGCGTCGGATCGAGCGACGAATGGACTCGGCATGTCCTTTGCTCTTGACGTAAACAGGAGGCGTCCACTGTTCATGAGGCGCTGGCACAAACGACGACACGACCGAGCGGCGATGCCTGTTCGCAGATCCACCCAGTCGCGCTGTGATGGCGGTAAAGTCCACGACATCTTCGCTATCGCTTGCAGACGAACGCGCGTCTTCGTCCTCCGGCTCGTCTTCGTCCACGTCGCCCAGTGCTGCTCTCTTGTGCTCCGAGCGCTGCGTCTCGACGCGATTGGGTCCACTTGTCCAGTCGGTGGTCGGTCGGGTCCCGCCCGCGCCGGTCGACGCGTGGGTTCCTCTGGTCCAGTCGTGTCGAGACGACATTAGTGCACGAAGTCGATGGATGGAATTGCCCTCTCGATCGAGTAACGTAATCGGGGCAAAAGCTCTACTGCCCACGCCAGCGACGCCTTGTTCTTCTTTATTTTGCTTCTCCGGATCTTCTGCACTTGTCACAGGATCTTCTGCACTTGTCGCAGGATCTTGCTCGCTTCTTTTCTGCACACGTACGTTGCACCGCGAGATACGTACCGTTTCTCGATCGGGTCGTGCGACGTGTCCGTCGCGACGTTTCGATAGCGAATCCGAGCGCGCCAAGGAAGGAGCTCGAAAGTCCCACGTGTCGCACGTGCGTGGGACACGTAGTTGCAGCGAAAGAGCCAGAGCAGAGCCCCATATTCCTGACCCGAATGGTCGCTACTGCTGCTGCATGTTGCACGGTATACTCCCCAGCGAGTCGTTGTCAGGGGCCACGATCAGCTCGCAGCGTTTATTGGAGAAGACATCCTACCGACTAGACAACCCGATGCAGCTTCAATCAATCGTTGAGCTTTGACACACTACTCTTGCGGTTGCCATAGCGACTTGAGATCGGCAAGTACCCGCTCAATGTCTGCAGCGAACTTTTCCGAGCTCGTAGACGGACATGACATCTTGCTCGATATATGAAAGCCAAGCATGTTCTCACCTGCAACCATGTAGCTGACGCCGTATCCGTCTTCAGCTACCGGCCCAAAGCCACCGCCAGGACAGCGCGCATCCTCAATCGTATACTTTGACCCTCTCAGAGCATCTTCGACCAAACGCCAGTTGTCCGTTTGCTGCTGAGGCTGCTGACTTGTTGACAGGCGCCATGGACGGCTTAGCGCATTGTTCAAGAATGCCGACTCGGTGCCGAAACCGACAGACACGCAGTAGAGCGTGAAGAGGTGACGGTCGATGCCCTTACCGCTCATGGCATTCCGGTAGCTGTCTTGGTGCACAGCACATGCGCGCTGAAGCAGCTGCAGTTTATCGGCGTCCGATAGGTTATGGTCGGCCATGCCGAGGACAAACGCTTTCGATTCGTCCGTCACCGGCCGGACCGTTTCTGTGCGGCCGTCCCGATACAGCCGAGTCATGCTAGACTCGTACGTCTGCGTGATCGTGCCAGAGTTGCGGTAGTATGCGAGCTGCAGCGCCATCTGGATGAACGCATCAGGACTGACGCGGAACTTCTTGATCAGGCCCTTGCCATAGTCCGTGTACGAGATAACTTTCAGATCAAAATCACCGATGGCCGTCTCAGCGTCTGCGAGCGACTTTAGCACAGCGCGGTCAAGGCCCGTCGAAAAGTCCCACTGCAGCAATCTACAGGGCGGTAACTTGGATGCCCGTTCGTCTTCAGACAGCACCAGAGCATCTCCTTGTTGATCGTACGGAGACGTAAAGCACTGCCTCGTATACACTTGCTCCCACGCATGGGCCATCACCGGCGCATCAGCCCACGCATGTTCGGCATTTATTCCAGCAACACTGTTCTTGTAGATCACGAGGTTGAACGATTTGTCAAACCAACGATTGCCACCGCTACCGTGAATGAGGTCCTTGCCCATTGATGTCCAGTCCTTGGCCACGTCGTTTTGCAGGATCACCACAAATATTGCCGACTCAATAGCCTCGAGCGACCGCTTGTTCATACCGCTAGAAAAGAACTGCTCGCGATTTTCGGCCCACTCGATGCGACCAGCGGCAGTCAAAGCCGCGAGGTTTTGCTCGGCAGTTGTGGATGCATCCATGGTCAACGCCGTCGACTGGATCCACTCCAGCTGGCGCTGGATCTCAAACTTTGACAGCAAGTTGCCATATTGGCCCTTCTCATAGAGAGGCATCTTGAACACGCGACCATGGCAGAACACGGCGATATGTTTCGATTTGTGGTGGTACAGCTTGAGCACGTCCGTCTCGCGTCCAGGAATCCGTGTGCACGAGAACATCCGCTGGTATTGGCTCATGCAAAGCGGGACAATGCCACGAATGAGCTGCGGCGCTAAGTGCTCCCTGTCGAGATCCTGCTTGAAGAGCAAAAACTCGTGCACGAGCACAGCCGCTAATGCCACGGGGTTTTTCGTGAGACTAAAGTCGAGGTTGGCACCTGGCAGCGCGTAGTAGTTGCTATTGATCATCAACGACGAGCGGCCTTTGAGGTACACGTACTTCTCCCACCAGTCCGTGACATAGTTTGACGACCACCAGCTCTTCAAGTACAGGTAAAACTGCAGCTTCGGCCCTTCCTGGTGCAGAAACTCGTCCGCCATGCGCTCAACATCCTTGAACTCGTCCGACGTGAGCAGCGGGTGAACCGACTGCAAGTACCGCTGCACCGTATCCTTCAGTGGGGGCAGCGGTAGCCTCGGCAGTGCGTCCTGGAACGAGTACGTGAGCGGGTTGCGCCCGCCAAAGATCTTCAACAGTGCTGCCCACGCCGTGACGACGCGGCTCTTTTGCCGCGGCGCCAAGTACAACCAGCCTCGGTAGCTCAGCAGCAATCGAAGAAAGAGTCGCTGGACTGCCATGAGCGCCAGCAAGCCCAGGAATGCCGCCCAAGCGGCGAGGGACGCCACGTAGAGGGAATTCGGCAGCAAGTACCAGTACGGCATCAGAAAGTTGCCGACATGCCACACGCAGACCGAAATGGGTCCACTGCGCCACCACGAGTCCGTGGGCGAGAGGACAACGACGACCGAGACGGCGACGACAGTCAAAATGGCGACCAACGGCGGGGCGGGGTACACGCCGCGTTGAAGGGCCCGCTGGAGATGGAAAAACTCACGGACGAGCGAGCGACGGACCTCATGCGGCGGTGGGATCGTAAAGGACACGCGGATGCCTTCGTCCGAGTACAAGAGCTCGACGCCGCGCTTGTGCTCGTCGAAAACGCCAATGGCCTGATGCGCTTCGGCCATGACGGCTGTTGTTTACGAGGGCAAATCGAAAAGTGATGGTGGGGTTATGGTGAGGAGGTACGTTTGGAAGAAGCCGAGCGCTCGTTTAAGGCGTTTCGTATTTGGGACGAGGGCCGCGAAGCAGTGGCTCTAAGCAGTTTTGAGCGCATGCGATAGGGGATGGACCTATTTTGGTTGACTTCAACTTGCGCGGAGACTTTGATGTTTAGCGCGTTTCAGATGATGCATGAGCGTCTTGATGCGTCTGGATTCGGACACCCATTTGATTGATTTCATGCTGGTCGAGCGGGACTGTGCGATAGCTTGCCAATCGCGTTCTAAATTTAGAAGGCGTCCAGCGGTCGCGATTAGGAGCATGAAGACGTCATCATGATCACGGGTGTGTGAATTTCCACGCTATTTTGGAAGCAGTCCATTTTCTGCATTGCAGTTCTCACTTCAGATTCGTCCCGCAATTTTGCAGTGAACGTTGAAGCTGCGCGCGCAAAAATGACGCTGCCGACGAGGACAACAGATTGGATAGGACCCTCTGCCGTTCTCTGCCACATCTTTGACACCACAAAAAACCGAAGCGAACTGAACCTGTCCTGTCAGCGAGCTAGACACACGCTGATCGCTTGGCCATTGACAGCCATGTCCCGTTTGCTAGCTCAGCGAGATGCAGACTTATAGGGTCGCTCAAGTGCAAGAGAGATTCGGGTTGGGAACTTCGACAGTAGCGAATAGTTAGCGACCATACAAACGTATTCCAAAGTGACGTCTAGCGTGAACTACCTGGTGGCATTAGCGATCATTTACCGGACGTGGACATGTGTGACTTCGATGAGCGTGGCTAATTGTCGTGTATCTTTTTCTTGGCGTCGGCCAAATCCTACCCGGACTGCTAATGTCCGAGTCGATCGGCCCGCGGAAATTCGATGTAAAATACTTACTGTGGTAGCATTGCGACGACGATGGCTTCAGCTGGCGTTTAGTCATGCTGATGTGTGGTACTACTTCCTTTTTTAGTCTCCGTGACTCAGAAAAACAGAGCTTGGACCCGCTGTACCAGCTATCGATACGCTTACGGAGTCTAACTTTGTGACCTATCGTTGTCCGCTCCGGTTCTACAATGGCTCATTGGTATGTACTGCGAGGGATAGCAGTCGAAGTTAATACCCTGACGGTGTGTCTACTAGCGTCGTGGTCACATCAAGCAAAGCCTTTTCCCATGATCTCATATGCAGTGTAGCTAGAGCTGATGTCCGGACAGTTTGCCGCTGATGAATTTGACCGAGAATATCTTACTTGCTCGTACTAGCATGTCTTAAACTGAGGGCAAATGAACGAATGCCACCTTTTTGTCTACTTTCACCTATGGCGCTGGCAGCAAAAGCGTGTTGAACAGTTGGCTGATACTTTAATCGTCTGCCACGTCCGTTCCGCTCGATCGTTGGTTCGTCAAGCGCATGGTACACTTAGCTCCTTCCCAAAATGTACCCTGTATATCCTCCCTTTTAGCTAAGTTGTAGTTCAGTATGCTTTCCGACGTTTCCGCTCTTGGAGTGTCGCGCGAAGAGTTGGGCGAGAAAGTATTCATTCCGAGCGGACCATACATCGTGTCCATTCTTTGGTAGTACAGAGTAGTACGTCAGTATATTGCAAGCGGTCTATATCATTATGCCCTTGATCTATGTTTGTCTGTGTGCATGGAACATGGAGACCAGGAGGTTCGGAGCTGTTTGGAAAATGCTTGCACCACTAGGTAATCATAAATTTAAAAAATTAATTTATGATGTCATCACCTTGAAGCAGCACGCGTTCCATATATTGCTTCAATCGTCTCACCAACCCACAATCACTCTCATTTTCTCACCCCCACTGTATCCTTGTTCGTTTGAACTTGCAGTGCGCATCACGCCGTTTCAGTCATTCTAAACACCGCTCGCCGACTACATACGGTATCGCTCAAAGAGAAACCGCTTTCATTTCCCTTTGTTCATGTTCGCGCTCATCGCGTCAGCTGCCACCGGCATTCCTTTGCCCAAGTCGCCGAAAAGCGGACAAACTTGACGACGTCGACTCTGGGTCAACTCGACCAGCGGGATATGGCGCTGAAGAGGGCTCCGAAAAACCAAAGCTATCAATAAAGTTACCCTGACAAAAAGACACCGTTGTTGCTCCAGGCAGCTGTCTTCCGTGTGAAATCGACAGCCACAGGCTTGAGCCCAGTACGAACGCCCTCACTGCAGCAAAAATCGATGTGGTACGTCAACCATCATCGGCAGATTAGCGAGCTACTCAGTGAGGACGTTTTCAACTTTTGTCAGGATGTCGCTCTTGCTAACAAGATGATTGCTTGTATCAGGACGCAGTCCGCGCTGATTAAAAGAGGCGTCACTCCGGATTAGTTATTATGTAGTGGGTTTGCAACGTTTGTTTGGAAAGAGACCTTCGTTCAGGGTATATCACACAAATATTGCGGGTTGGTCGCCACACTCGCGCCTACCGACAACTTACTCAGATATCGCTCTTCAAAGCAAACTCACGTCCCGAGGCCGGCGTTGAGATGCAACGCGCGCACTTCACTTCGGATTCGTAGCAACGTTTTACACGCACGTGGTTCAACTGGTGAGACGATGGGGCACCTGTGAACTTGCAGACTTATAAACAACTTCAGCATAGACGATAGGGGCACCTGAGAACTTGCAGACTTTGTAACAACGTCAGCGTTCGATAGCGTTAACTTCTTGTTGATACTGCGCTTGCCAGTTGATGCGTAAATACAAACAACAAAGTATTATCGATTCGAATTGCATTTGATGTCAGTCAATTTACGAAGTAACTATAAAAAAGATTGATGCTCGTAAAGGTAGAGCAGTGGTGTGCCGTACGTCAAGGAGCGACTCCAACGCGCACGTCGTCGGGACGCTAAAGGACTCAAGGAGTATGAAATTATACCTGAGCAATCTCTACGAGAAAACCGTTTGTTTTCATCGGTGCGGTGCGTTACACAACTGAAACTTTTGAGCCTCAACTAGCATCTCATTTAGCTTCCAAACACAGAAAAGTAGTCGCTCATACAAATAAGTCAGGAAGTACAAAAGGTCAAGGCGGATGTTCGCTGAACATTGTTTCGTTTTCGTACAGTATCATCTAGGCAAGCGAAATACAACGAAGGTATCTTTGCTACTTAATGTCGTCTCATACGATTGTTACTCAAGTACACCTGAGTTGGCCGCATTCGCCACACCATGAGCACCGATATACATTGTCCGCTGTCATTCAAGGCTGCTGCATCACGCAAATGGATCCTACATTAGTTCCGAGACGATAAGATTAGCATGCATCGTCATAATCTTGGTCATGCTAGCTCGTGTATGCTCTGCAATCATCTGCCCACATAAGTCGCCACATGAACCGAGACGTATGACACTCGAAACGCGACGTGAACACTCAGTTGTGTTTACTAGGTCACTGACCGATGTCGCTCGATTTCAATGCGCAAAATCGATCTATCTTCTTTTCGCCTAATTGATCAAGAATGAGCTAGTGTGCAAAATCGTATGTAATTATACACTAGCCGTATTCGCTGCTCGTGCTCAACGCGCGCCAAAGCGTAGTAGCCTCTTTTTCATGACATCGCTGATGCACTTACCCGATGATAAAAGCTTGTAGCGAAGCACGCGATGTGTCATATAATCACTCCTCTGCATATCTAGAAGATCTGCACATAACGTAGTAACGTAAACAACCGACTGCCAGTACTTCTGACTTGTGACGTAAGCTGCCTGGTCATCTTCGAAAGTACCATTCTGATCGGGTAGTCTATAGAATGGGGTCAGCCTGTACATGGTGTTGAGAATGAGAGATGCATCGATGCGAACATATCGCTCTGTCCAACAACCTTGTCTGAGGTAATGATGATGCGCCAGTGTAGCCTGTGATGTGCTATACCGCAGCAGTTGATAACAAGCTGCAAACGTGATGATATGGGGTATTAAATCATTCAAAAAGGCTGCTTAGTAATGACAGATGTGCATAGCAAATGGCGAGCTGGTAGTCAACCTACATACTTTTAGCCGGAGATACATGAAGTACGTTTACAGCTGATCTTGTCGTTCGAAAATGATTCTGCTAAACACAGCTCTCTTTTTTTCGATGCAAGCAAGCGTACTTATTGGTTGTCTGACATGCTCTTGAATAGGAGTGTACAAGCGGTATTTTCGCATTCGTCTACACACTCATCAACGATTACAACATATAACTGGGTATTGCTGGTCGACCACGTTCCTCAATATATATCACTTTCGACAACGATCACAACATATATTGGGTCAGTTCAATAAGAACGAGACCTGCCACACTTCACGGTACTTTGCGGTTCGTCTAACGATCACACATCTGTCTGCATTAGACGCGTGAGGACAACTTAAACAGTACGCGTGTCGGGTGCGCTTATTTGAAAGATCTCTAATAAAGGGCATCGTAACGAATAAGTTCGACCGTCGGCGGATCAGTTGTACTCGCCACGTCGTCGGTCCTGAAATGGTACCAGGAACATGCAGCGATCGCTAAGCCTAAACATCATGAAGGTACGCGATAAGGACGGATAAGCTTTGCTTTGTCAGCAAGGTTACGAAAGGACAGAGAACCTGTAAAAGGATATTGTGGCCACAATTTTCGCTGTTGGTATGGCAACAGACAGTCGTTGTTTGTTTTGCTAAGGGGTCATAGCGATCGACCTTTGAACTGTTTCGAATCCAGCAGAATGTTGTTACTTTTGCTGTTATAATGCGTGTGCTTTGGCAAAAGATCTTAGAAATGATAATCTGCAAGTTGCAAGTTTTCAATAGAGAATGATTGCTACAATGTGATGCATCAAATTGAACACGATATCGAATCTCGCCGAATTGGAGAAGTTGCTGCTAACGTCTTCTTAGGATTGATAAACTAAATTTCGGTTTCTAGAAATTCAGTCATAGTATTCACATACTCATTGGTCATATGCAGTCATCGGG